GCCTGTATTCAGAAGAAGAGGGGGATTGAAATGGAGACTGTTGAATAAATATGGGACTTTCAAAATTACTGAACTTCAGGGAAATCCCCAGAGAAAGAGTGTCCTAAAAAAAAAATCTACCCACGGATACAGAAAAGACAAGGATGTTAAAGGTACCAGCTGAAACAAAAGAGAATTTTCTGAGAATTCAAATTCCAAACTTGTGTTTCATGCAGGTTCAAGATGCAAAATAATAACTTGTCACAAAGTCTGGAAACCTTGAGAGAAAGAGATTTTTATAAAAATTGGACCCAGCGTGTTGGTTCTCTTGGAGCATGTAAAAGAAGCAAATATAAAACTTTCAGGGAGGCACGCCCTTGACAGATGCTATTCATCAACAATTTATAAGTCAACAGACACAGCAATGGGAATGATTGGAACCCTAAGGATTTCCACTCCTAGAGCACTGGTCTAGCCTATAAAATTGGTTTGTCCAAAATGAATAAAAAATAAAATGTGGAATTTAAATCCTAAGAAAAAAAGACACTACAAAAATGGCACATTTGAAAAAGAAGGAAATATAATTTCTAGACATAAAAAGTCAGTAGACTAAATTGAAGGTAAGATACAACTAAAGGATTTGCAAACAGAGAGTTGGAATGAAGACTATTACTCAGAATATGACACTGAGAGATAAAGAATTAGAAAACAGGTAGGAGGAATTAGCAGATATGAAGGTTAGAATGAGAGTATCAGTCTGGTAGAAGTTGTAGAAGGTGGTGTTTGAGAGAAAAGGGAGAAGTATATATTAAGGTAGTGGCTGAGAGTTTTCCAGAATGTATGAAAGGTATGAATCTTTAGATTAAGGCAACATTATGAGTTATGAGCAGGCCAAATAAAAATAAATCACATATAGAACCTTATAGTGAAGACATCAAACACCAAAGACAAAAAGAGGATCTACAAGGCAATCAGAGAGAAAAGACAGATTACCTAAAAAGAAACAAAAATGATGCTGGTATATGCTTTTAATAGCAAGAATAAGGGCTAAATAAAAAAATGGTATATTTTATTGTATTTCTTCAAATTACTAAGGGAAATAACTGCTAATCTAGAATAAATTATCCAAACTGTCATTTGAGAGTTAACATAATTTTTTGACAAAACTATTTACCACTTTCAGATCTATGATGATTAAAGACTTTTAAAGGATATAAGTAAGGAAAAAGCCAGAAGGAAGAATAGCCTTCAAGTAGTAATGGTAAGCAAAGAAATTAGGAAACATGTGGGTCAATATAAAGAAGCTTTTTTTTTGAGACAGGGTCTTGTCCTGTCATGCAGCCTGGAGGGCACTGGTGCTATCTTGGCTCACCACAACCTCTGCCTCCCAGGTTCAAGTGATTCTCCTTCCTCAGCCTTCCAAGTAGCTGGGATAACATTCGTGTGCTATCATACCAGACTAATTCTTGTCGTTTTAGTAGAGGCTGGGTTTTACCATGTTGGCCAGGCTGGTCTCAAACTCCTAACTTCAAGGGATCTGCCCGCCTCAGCCTCTCAAAGTCCTAGAATTACAGGTGAAGCCACCATGCCCAGCCTAAGAAGCATTTCTTACACAGAACATAGTTATTAATTTTGATAATAATATATCAAGATGTAATAATATTCCAAACATCTATATCACTTAATAAGAAAAATGAGTAATTTTTGTTAGAAGAACATTAGCATTATTAATTTTAGTTCCTGTTTAATCAAGTATATATGTTAACAATTTCAACATAATCACTTAAAAACAGAAACAGAAGCCCCCAGGAAGTTTGAACTGGGCGGAGCCCACTGCAGCTTGGCAAAGCCACTGTAACAAGACTGCCTGTCAACATTCCTTCTCTCTGGGAAGGGCATCTCTAAAAGAAAGGCAGCAGCTCCAGTCAGGGATTTATAGATCAAACTCCCATCTCCCTGGGACAGAGCACCTGGGGTAAGGGGCGGCTGTGGGTGCAGCTTCAGCAGACTTAAACGTTCCTGCCTGCCAGCTCTGAAGAGAGCAGTGGATCTCCCAGCACAGCGCTAGAGCTCTGCTAAGGGACAGACTGCCTCCTCAAGTGGATCCCTGACCCCCATGCCTCCTGACTGGGAGAAACCTTCCAACAGGAGTTGACAGACACCTCATACAGGAGAGCTCTGGCTGGTATCTGGCAGGTGCCCCTCTGGGATGAAGCTTCCAGAGGAAGGAACAGGCAACAATGTTTGCTGTTATGCAGCCTCCACTGGTGATACCCAGGCAAACAGGATCTGGAGTGGACCTCCAGCAAACTCCAGCAGACCTGCAGCAGAGGGTCCTGACTGTCAGAAGGGAAAATACAAACAGACAGGAATACCATCAACATCAACCAAAAGGATGTCCACACAGAAACTCCATCTGACGCTCCCTAACATCAAAGACCAAAGGTAGAGAAATCCATGAAGATGAGAAAAAAATAGTGCAAAAAGTCTAAAAATTCCAAAAATCAGAAAGCCTGTTATTCTCCAAAGGATCACAACTTCTTGCCAGCAAGCGAACAAAACTGGACGGAGAAAGAGTTTGACGAATTGACAGAAGTAGGCTTCAGAAGGTGGGCAATACAAACTCCTTCAAGCTAAAGGGGCATGTTCTAATGCAGTGCAAGGAAGCTAATAACCTTGAAAAAAGGTTAGAGGAATTGCTAACTAGAATAACTGGTTTAGATAAGAATATAAATGACTTGATGGAGCTGAAAAACACAGCACTAGAACTTCATGAAGCATACACAAGTATCAGTAGCTGAATCAATCAAGGAGAAGAAAGGATATCAGCTTAATGAAATAAAGCATGAAGACTAGATTAGAGAAAAGGAAATGAAAAGAAACAAACAAAGCCTCCAAGAAATATGGGACTACGTGAAAAGACCAAACGTCTGTTTGATTAGTGTACTTGAAAATAATGGAAAGAATGAAACCAAGTTGGAAAACACACTTCAGGATATTATCCATGAAAACTTCCCCAACCTAGCAAGACAAGCTAACATTCAGACTCAGGAAACACAGAGAACACCATAAAGATACTCTTTAAGAAGAGCAACCCCAAGGCACATAGTCATCAGATTCACCAAGGTTGAAATGAAGGAAAAAATGTTAAGGGCAACCAGAGAGAAAGGTCAGGTTACCCATAAAGGGAAGCCCATCAGATTAACAGTGGATTTCTCTGCAGAAACCCTACAAACCAGAAGAGAGTAGGAGCCAATATTCAACATTCTTAAAGAATTTTCAACCCAGAATTTCATATCCAGTCAAACTAAGCTGCATAAGCAAAGGAGAAATAAAATCCTTTACAGACAAGCAAATGCTGAGGGATTTTTGTCACCATTAGGCCTGCCTTACAGGAGCTCCTGAAGGAAGCATTAAATATGGAAAGGAAAAACCGAACTAGCCACTGCAAAAACATACCAAAATTTAAAGGCCTTTGACACTGTGAAGAAACTGCATCAACGAATAGGCAAAATAGCCAACTGGCATAATGACAAGATCAAATTCACATGTAACAATATTAACCTTAAACATAAATCGGCCAAAGGCCCCAATTAAAAGACACAGACTGACAAATTGGATAGAGTCAGGAGCCATCATTGTGCTGTATTCAGGAGACCCATCTCATGTGCAAAGACTAATATAGGCTCAAGATAAAGAGATGGAGGAATATTTAGCAAGCAAATGGAAAGAAAAAAAAAAAGCAGAGGTTGCTATCCTAGTCTCTGATAAAACAGACTTTAAATCAAAAAAAAAAAAAAAAAAAAAAAAAAGACAATTTCTAAACTATCCCAAGTCAAGGACATAGCTAAACTGAAACTTATTTATACATTTTGTTAGTATTCAGTAGTTAAAAATGGACTAGATCTCATGGATAAGATTGGTAATTCTATCTGATCATTCCAGCATTATCATTCCATAAAACTGAATGACAAAAAAGTTGCAAAATGTTATATAGAGTAGACCCCAAGTGAAGATATGAATTGGATATATAAACATGGAGCTTGAAGAGATGTGGCTGAAAGACACATTTGGCAGTTATCCAAATCCAGTTTTTGAAAGCGTGAGTATTCATAGTCATAAGGAGAGTTAGTAGTCAAGAAAACCCAATTTAGAACCCTGGGGCTCCCAACAATTAGAGATCAAATTGAGAGAAGGAGAATCAAGCAGAGGAAGTCCAGAAAAGCAGCCTCACTAGTAAAGTAAGGAGAGAGAGAGGGCAATAAGGAGAGCACTCATGTTGCTTGTCTTCATTGATTCCTGTTTAAATATGTTCATGTGAGGTCTTGATGCCCAAAGCCACATCAGCCAGTTGGAAGTATGAGGGAGCACATTTGAGGATAAAAAACCAATATGCTAAGGGCGGAGAATTAGGAGAGAAAGAACCTGACATTGTAGAGTCAACTGATCCAGAAACTCACTATAATCCAGAAACTCACTATGTCTATCATTCTGTTATACACGATAAGGATTTATTTTGTAACGTCATTGCTAGTTGTATTTTCTGTTTCTTGAAGTCAATAGCATCTTATTTTGCCTTAGGGACAATTTAACAAGTCCATCTTTTTCCCAGTTAAGGAAATGTGTGTTGAATAAATGGTACCAAGTGTTTAATTGGGGTTGCAAAGATAACCGAGACAAGTCCCAGCCCAAGAGCTCATAGTTTAGGAGAGAGAAATTGACATTGAAAGAGGTTGGAGATGGTAGGGCCTTGAAGACTTTTGATCATAGATATGAGATAATAAAGGTTTAGAAACACTAGTTTGATGTCATAATAAAAATGATTATGTACCTTGGGTACATATATCTGTCTATTTAGCATTATTTGATTTCATTTGAACCTCATAACAAATCAGTAAGGAAGGTATTGCCCATGCTTTATAGACGAAGAAACAGGTTTATGAACTCCAACAATTTGCTTAAGATCAGATAGTGATAAGATTGAAACTAAGGTTGTTTAGTATCAGAAGCCAGACTCTTACCTGCTTTGTTTCCTGCTACGCTGTCCCTCCTGTGGCACCAGCTGCCCTTATCTCACAGGCGTCATTGACCCAACACAGGATGGTCTGAAGGGAGGAAAAGTGAGTGTCAAGGAGACCCAGTAAAGTAGGAGAGAGGTAGTGTAGCAAGGGGAAAGGGAAGATCAGGATGGTCGGTGTTTCCAAGAGGAACAGTGAGCCTTAATGAGAGACTGGAAACATGGGGGGGAGAATGCTGAAGCGTCAAATAGATGTCAAGGTTACTTCACAGTTCCTTTTTTTTGAAAAAACATTTGGTATTTATTGCCTCCACTCCTTCATGTGCTCTTAACATATGATAATCTAGTTTTTGCTTCACATTTTCTTTTCTTTGTGGAAACTGTTCTCTGTGTGTGTACCCTTGGCTTACTTATTGAAAATTACATAGATATAGATATCCATATATTTTTTCTATTTTCCCTGATGCTTCCACATTTTCTTTAAATTTTCTCCTTCATTAGCTTCTCCAAAATTAGATTTATCCCTAGAGAAACTCATTCTCTATTTATTTATTTATTTTGAGATGGAGTCTCACTTTGTCACCCAGGCTGGAGTGCAGTGGCGAGATCTCCGCTCATTGCAACCTCCACCTTTCAGGTTCAAGTGATTCTCCTGCCTCAGCCTCCTGTGTAGCCATGATTACAGGTGCACACAACCACACCTGGCTAATTTTTGTATATTTAGGACAGACAAGGTTTCACCATGTTGCTCAGGCTGGTCTCAAACTCTTGACCTCAAAGGACTTGCCCACTTTGGCCTCCCAAAGTGCTGGCATTACAGGTATGAACCACTGCGCCCAGCTTTGTTCTCTGTTCAAAATCTCTCCTTCCCCTAACCTTTTGCCAACCTCCAGAATTACTTTTGGATGCCATACTTCTTACCTATTTTTTTGCTTGGCTCCAATTGTTTTCTTCTGTTTTCTAAATGAGCTTATACGGTATGTACTTTGCTGTAATGATCTTTACTTAAGTTTAGTCTCCTTATAGAAATTTTCCAAGCAATTCTCATCCTTTGATGTGCCATCCTTCTACCTCATTGCTTATGGCAATCACATGACGTTTTATACATATGCTTATTTGTACCAATATATGCCTTATTTGTTTAAGGAGTAATTTTCATGTGTCTTGATAGTCCTGATAGTGCCTAGCATTCTTGCATTTAGTGACAATTATTCATTCATTTCTTTATTCATTCAACAAATACTTGAATGGGAGGCACAGAAAGGGGAAAAGCAGAATAAATGACTATAAATAGTCCAAAACAGGAAAAATAAATAAGGTGTTAATTTGAGGAAGATGTAAAAATCTATATTCTATTTTATGTTATTTTTTAACCTGTTTGCCTTGGTCTTGTTTAAAATCCAATGAGAGGTAAAACACAGGGAGAGAAGTAAGCAAAGGGTTATGAAGGGATCCTCTAGAGGGATTCTGCAGCTACGAGTTACAGGTGTGCTGAAGTCTCGCTGTCCTCTGCTACAGGTGGCAGGAGCTTCCAGCTATGAGCAGCCAGTGTGTTATGCAAATTTGTTTTTAAGTAGACCGTTTTGTGAAAAATACTAGGAAGCTCTTCTGTGAGGTTCCCAAGAAAGTAGAAGAGGATGTGTACTAGTCAGAGTACTCTAGATAAATAGAACCAGATATATCTATATAGAGAAAAGCAGATGAAGAAAGGAGATTGATTTTAAGGAGTTGGCTTGCCATATTGTGGGGGCTGGCAAGTCTGAAATTTGTAGGGCAGGATGCCGGCAGGCTGGAACTTCTGGCAGCAGTCAGTGTTGCAGTCTTGAGTTTGAAGCCAGAATTTCTTCCTCTTCTGGGTATCTCAGTCTTTTCCCTTAAAGCCTTCAACTTATTGAATGAGGTCCACCTACATTATGGAGAGTAATTTGTTTACTCAAAGTCTACTGATTTAAATGTTAATCACATCTGAAAAAAATAGCTTCACAGCAACAGCTAGACTTGTGTTTGACCAAAAAACTGGGTACCATAGCCTAGCCGAGGTAAATACATCAAAGTAACCATCACAAGATGGAAGCCAAAGAGGTAGGTGAAAGTTTGGCTTTGGGTAGGAGGAGGGTCAGTTCTTTCAGTGTAAAAGGAGAAATGAGGATGGGTACTGATGTGGATGTTTAGGTAACTCCAAATCTATGGCTTCTATTTTCTCTGTGAAACTGGGATGAGAGGAGGAAATCAATGGTTTAAAGATAGTGATAGGTTTACGAAATTTACTTAGGTGAGTGGGAGAGTAGTTGCCAAGTGAAATAGATTGAGATTGCTGAGAAGAGCTAATGATTGGTGGTTGCAGTCTTATGAGGGTTGTAGTCTCTAATAAATGCTCACTACACAGCTATTTCACTTTATTTAAGATGATATCTTTTAAAGTATTTACACAGTATTGATCTTTACTGTCTGCTGTCAAACACCACTCTTCAGTTAACTTCTATGCACTCTACTATAATCTCTTATTCCATGGATTAGACCTACGTAGTGTTAGTCGTGGTAGCACTTGTCTGGGACCTTATTATTGATTGCCTTGTAAAACTACACATCTAATAAATAATACGATCCGTGGTGGTGCACAGGTGACATGGTAAATTAGCTTAAGGAGAAGGATGTTGCTGTTGAGGTTACTTTAAATGCTAGAAGCTCTGCAGGCTTTTAGCATAGACCCACTGCTCTGTGACTCAATAATAACACACTTGTTTTGCCACCATTCAAAAGACAAGTGTACACACTGTGCAATAGGAACTCCATAGATATTTAAAAAAACAAAGGAAAATGTTGGTTTTCTTGATACTATTTTCTACATCTTTGCCTATTTGCATATTGTGTTAGCTCCGAAAATGGTTAGGAGGCAGAATTTTTCCACAATTTTGAATTCAGCGTTCTCTTCTTCCTATGATTCTTTATAAGTGGCACTTATTTATTTGAGAGGTAGTAAAATGTAAAGAAAATATTTTTGTTTTTGGAGGAGAGGAAATCATTGAAAGGACAAGGTTGGGTAGAGAAAATATTTTGTTTTGGGATAAGAATTAATTTGATTTTTGAGGTCTGAAATGAATTAAAAAATATTAGAGGAGACATTTTTCTTTTCATAAAATGTCCTTATTTTTAATGTATTTATTTATTTTTTTGAGAGGGAGTCTCATTCTGCTGCCCAGGCTGGAGTGCAGTGGCATGATCTTGGCCCACTGCAACCTCTGCCTCCCAGATTCAAGCAATTATCCTGCCTCAGCCTCCTGAATAGCTGGGATTACAGGCTCCTGCCACTACGCCCAGTTAATTTTTGTATTTTGTAGAGATGGGATTTCACCGTGTTGGTCAGGCTGGTCTCGAACTCCTGACCTCAAGCCATCTGCCTGCCTCGGCCTCCCAAAGTGCTGGGATTACAGGTGTGAGCCACCCGCTCCTACCCCAAGAAAAGCTTTTTAAACCATGTAGTCAGAAGACCTAGATAGGTGATGGGAAACTCATATCCTTATAGAAATATATAACACATTTGCTGTAGCCAAATTAACACATGTGCTGGCAGATCCTGTAATCTTGGACCTATGTTTTAGTTCAGGCTTTATCACATACTAGAGCTATGATTTCGATAGTCTGCCTTCATTTCATTTATCTGTAAAATGTTAATAATGCTTGTTTTACCTAGGGCATAGGATTATGATAAAGGTTATATAATATAATGTTATATAATAGAAACTTCAGAGCTACAAATATACATTTATTAGAGTTCTCCATCGAAGCAAAACCAATATGATGTGTGTGTGTGTGTGTGTGTGTGTGTGTGCGCGCGCATTTATTTTAAGAGGGAATTTATTTTAAGGAAGTGGTTCATGTGATTATGGGGCTGGCAAGTCTGAAATCTGTAAACAGGTGAGCAGGTTGAAAATTCAAGCAAGAGTTGGTATTGCAGTATTGAGTCCCATACTTGCTGGCTGGAAATTGAGTCAGGATTTCTATGTTACACTCTTGAGTTAGAATTACTTCTTCTTTAGGAAACCTCAGTCTTTGCTCTTAATGCCTTTGATTTATTAGATGAGCGTGACCCATATGATGAAGGTAACCTGCTTTACTCAAAGTCTACTGTTTAAATGGTAACTGTATATGAAAAGCGCCTTCACAGAAACATTTAGACTAGTGTTTGACCAAACAACTGGGATACAATTGCCTAGCCTAGTTGACATGTAAAACTAAGCCCCACAATACAGCATTATGATGAATACTTCGGATCTTGATTTAGGTTACCTGAATTTAATTCTATCTCTACCTTTGGGAGCTAAGAGTCTTTGAGCAAATATTGCATTCTTTCTGTGATTCCATTTTCTCATCTGTTAAACAGCCTTACAGAGTTGTTGTGAAATTAAAAACAGAACACACATGCAGTATGTTCAGAATAGGATAGTATAAATATGCAGTAAATTATGGCTACTATTAAATATATGCCATTATTACTGTTATTAAATCTGAAAATATAACAATATAAAGTTTTAAATGAAAAACAATTTTTTCTGTTAGTCGTATGGTTTTCCCTTTCCCCTGGGTTTGAGTACAAGGGCAGTAATCAATTGTCCTGGATTTACTGGAACAGTCACAATTCCAGTATTCTGCCATAATTATTATTCCCATTTACATACTCTATTTGTCAGAACTTTCATTCTGATGTTTGGTTCACGAAATGTGCATGCCATAAATGATGATGACAATTGGCTTTTTTCTGAGATGAAGTCTTGCCCTGTCACTCAGGCTGGAGTGCAGTGGCACGATCTTGGGCATTGCAACCTCCTCCTCCTGGGTTCAAGTGATTCTCCTGCCTCAGCCTCTCAAGTAGCTGGGATTACAGGTGACTGCCACCACATCTAATTTTTTTTTTGTATTTTTAGTAGAGGCAGGTTTTTGCCATGTTGGCCAGGCTGGTCTCGAACTCTTGACCTCAGGTGATCCAACTGCCTCGGCCTCTCAAAGTGCTAGGTTTACAGGTGTGAACCACCACACCTGGCCGACAATTGACCTTTTAAAGATGGTAGCTGAGCCTTACAACTCAGGCTC